TAAATGGCCGAGCGTCAGACAGCTTCATTCCAGTTAAACAGTAATTCCACCCTCACAGTTACCTGGGGAAATAAGGGTAGCCTACATGCGAAGTGGATTATAGTTTACCCTTTTCGCCTGGGACTCAACAATCCTAGCTAAATGTCAATCATCCTTCGTGTGGAGAACGTCCGTTTTAGTGAAACAGAGGGAACAGTGCCAAAATACTCGGGAGGGAAACGTTAAGTTGACGGACTCCACTTACCTGCAGGTATACTGTGGATCGCGTCATACGGGAATGATGGGAATGGAGGTTTTGCGGGTGGGGCAGCATGCCAGACAGTAGCTGACGAAATGCAAGAAAACACGGAAATTGTTTGGGTTTCTGCCGAAAGTCTTGTCGTACGCTTTCGTATGGCAACGGGAATGAGTGTGTTAACTAGATAATAAACAAGAAACAACTTTCCAAAAAAATAACGGAATATGAGTAATGCTTTGAGGTCATGGGAGGTAATCGTTGTTGGCAGCGTAATTAATATCTACAAAGGCCTGCAAATCAGTGCCGCGATAAAACCATATATGACAAGATTCACAGTCTACTGACAGTAAAGCGGGGCCCCTCACCCTACCGTTGCTCTCAGGAGATTCCAAGTATGTATTTTACGGTAAGATGCGGTTCTGTAGCCCCACCTGATCGACACAATACTGTTGGGATTTGGGTTAGGGTTGGGCGTCAGGGTTAGTGCAACTATTTTTCAATCCCTCGAAGTACAACCGCCAATTTCCAAGAGCTTTTCTTTTGCATACAACTACTTGACCTCTTCGCCTGTGCGGTCCCCGGCCCCACCTCTAAAAACCCCTGTTACCACCGGTGCCGTATTACAAGTGGATTAGATTTGTTTGCTTCAGGTGCGTCTAAATAACGACATCTGACCTATTTTATGGTTTACATCCATGCATATCTGTCAAGGGGTGGTGGGGTTTGAGAGAACCTTTTTACAATGTGGGCTTCCAACAGTGTACCGCTCATTTTGGATTACCTTCTTTTTGACATGTTCAGCCCGCCGGAGTCCCCTACATTGATTTACAAAAATGGTCGTCAGGTGACGTGTCAGTATGGAGTGCGAGATAATGATCAGGGCTACTGCTGGCTGGTAAAGATACAGAGCGACACAGATGGCTTTGGGTCATTAAGAACAATGGATCTCGCACAAAGACAGTTTGCTGGAAGATGACAGTATTGCGTGAATGCGCAAGCTTTGGGTGGGATTACCTGTCACAATGGCATCTGTCATTTTGCAGAGATTACCTTCTTTGTTCAAGTATCCATTCCCGGAGGTGAGGGGACCTGACTGCATGGCCATATTCTATAACCCATAGAAAAAGACGTCGGTTTGAATTCTAGACCAGCCTGGTTGAGACCAGACAAATCAGTCAAGATTCTGGAGGAGAGAAATCATAAGGAGGTCCAAATGCAAATAGTCAATTAGCCTCTTTATGCATATACTGTTCATGTGAAGATGAATGCAGTCAAAAGTGCACGTATATGAGCCATATGGTTGGGTGGATTTATAGTTATATAATGAAAAACGATGGCAGTTTGATCGTCACAAACAACGGCACAAACCACATGCCTCGCGGAAGGAGGCACAAAACCGATGACTTACATGTTTGCAGTGAGGCAGGCTTGCGCGGCATATACCACACTTTCTCCTCCCCCATCCACCATACTCCGATGACGAGACAGTGTCACGAAGACAGGCGGTTAACTTTAATGTTGTAGTTGACGCTGTTTAGCAGCCCGTCTACGCGTGCCCTACACGAGCTGGTCCATACAGCATGTGTCCGAAGGGAGCCCTTACAACCTGACTCTCAGTTCTCCACCCGTCCCAAAATACTCTCACATTGACCGAGTATACAATCAGTTGAAAATCTTCCAAGCCACGTCATGATAGATTTATGCCAGTCAGATTTATTACAGCACAGTCCCATGCAGCTGAACATCAGACTTCCAGCGACGCAAATAAATCCGTTTACACATGTCTTCAGGTGCCCTGAAAAGAGCAGTTTTTTGTCAGTACACCTCATGACCGCTGCTAGCATCATACATTACGTAAATGAAGCGCAGTTTGACAACTAAGTTCAGATAGATTTCACCTAGACCCTAAAAACCAACCAAACCAGGCAGCAATCGTCCATCTAGACAAACAATTAGCCAGTTCAGTATGGTATGGTATGTAACCCCCTTGGGGAGACCGTAGTTAGTCGCAAACCTAACATTAACGATGGTCGTGTCTTAAATGGGGAATCAGTAACCTTAAGTCAAGCCCGAAAGTCTACCCTAGTCTCAACCTCAAATTCAAAACGTAGCCCAAGCCTGACAACCCTAGTCCCAAGAATAACCCAACTAACCAATTCTAGCCGTTACCCATACCCTAACCTTGAGCCCAAAATGGCAGCTTTGGCGTCGAGGTCGCCATCAGAGATCAAAATCCACTTCCAGCATGACCCCCATCTGGATCTGCTGCCAGACAAACCACCATGAATTACACCTAATTAAGTAAGATAAGAAGGTAGGTTTTGGGGCAATCACCCAGGGGGTTACATACCCTACTCTTACAGTGGATGGCAATATGTCATCGGGCCTATGAAGAAGCCAGTAACTTCTCACCGTGCCCTTGCAGACGTAGCTTAAAAGATGGTCAACTACTGGAAATTGAACCCTGGGGCGGCTGTGACCCCGCACACAAAATTGCTTATTTAAGACATGTCCCTGTGAGATCCTCCTCCTCCTCCTCCTCATCATCATCATCATCATCATCATCATCATCATCAGCATCATCGCCGAGGACGATGTTTTTTGCGGCAAACGACCAACAAACCGCCATGTACGTGTTCGGTCCGGCCCTGGTGACGGCTACACTTAATGGAGCGGGGATTCGGGTTTCAAATAGAGCTCACAGTCTGTCATGCAGGTGGTCTGTCTGGTCCAAGTGGAAAGCGAAACCGACAGCGTGTTGTGGCATGCTTTAGACAGAGACTAGGTGCCACTGGAAGCTGAGCCCGATCCCCCCTCCCTGTGCACGCGGGTTGCCGTAGTCGTGCACGTGGAAAGTGAGACTAAAAAGAGTTTTACACAGCAATCTACGCTGGCTGACGTACTAGTAAAACAACAGAGCGTCCTACCAGTGATCCTGGCTTAAAAGACCTATAGTTGGTGAAAACCCCTCGGGTTTGAGGGCAGAAGCAGGCCGCAGGGATTCCATCCTCTTAAGCTTTACGTGTTAGCTATTATGGTTGAGAATAATCAAGCCGCCAAGGAGAGGAGAGGACTGAGTGGTGCTCGGTTTGCTCCCAGTTTCCTTCCCTCAACTTCGGTTAGTGGAGTGAGGGTGAAGGAGCACACGACTGGGCTGGCTGGTTAGTCGTAGAACTCATCATGTACGGCGGACGGAATACTGTATCTCAGCCCAGCCAACGTGTGTTTTTTTTTTAATAAGGAAGGAATATTGATAATGGCGTGGGAGACTGCATTTGTCAGTTTTAGCTCATATGTCCCCGGTCACGGATGCCATCAAAGACTGAATTTCGGTTGCAAATATTACTAATATGTGCAAATATTTGGTTAACGTCCAGGCAATATCGCAAAGAGGTTGGTGGAGTAATGCTGGTGCTGTATCCAGCTGGTCAACCCTTGGAATTCTACACGCTCTCCTCGAAAGTGCTTTCACAGTTGACCCCTGTTGACATCCCCCTTCCCCCTTTTTGTAACCGTCTTTCGAGCGTGATCGGCGTTCTTTTAATTCACTAGTTGTTGTATTCTGACCTTGAGCTGGAAATTCGATTTTCTCGAATTCTTTGTCTAGGGTATCCATTGTCGAGGTTTGTACGTTTTTTTACTATTACCTTATTCTATCAATAGTACCGTATACACACCGAAATCTGTTTTGGCTCATACGCGTGACTCAATTTACCAAGAAGTCTACAGCAGGACTTTGGGCGTGTGCATACAGGATGACATGATTTTTTTACACATTAGGCGGACTGGATGTTTTCGATCGACTACAACTGGCTACCTGTCTTATAGCCATTGTCGAAGGTCCTGGAGCGGATGTTAGTACGGATGCCGTAGCATTAACCTGAAGGCAAGGACATGCTGCCTTTTCAGACTTATTCAGTGTGCATGTACGCCTTAACTTGCTCCTGTGGGGACAGGCTATATTAGTCAAATGACAAGGCGCCTATCCAAACCGATGCGAGAGCACCATCGTGCCTGGCTAAATTTTAAGGTATACAGAAAACCTATTTCTCTGGCAATTGTCTCTCACTTGGTAGACAGCAGCCACCCGGTAGACGTCAAAAAGCCTTTTCAATCATCCCTAAAGCGCCGGAGAGACAGTCCATGTTCCTGCGCCAGCAGATAATTTCGATGGCAGAGGCGGTGGTCATACGGCTAACCAACCCAATCTTGGGCTCGCTAAGGTGTGGATTCGAGCCTTCAAGTTTCCCTGGCCCAAGTTAAGTCCGCCCTGTTCGTGCGCGCATCCTGCTGCATCACGTTACAGCGAAACGCATTAGCATTAGCAATTACCGCCGGTCATGGCATACCTTAATTCTCCTAACTCTCTTCCCCACGACTACTGTTCGTTGACTAATATCAGTCTGTCTGCTCCACCGCAATCTACGTATTGTAAGGCCTGATGAGAAATTATCGAAAACGTACGTTTGCCAAAAATGACCTCTTCAGTGACGCAGCGTCAGTCGGCAGTTGTTATTTGAGGAACAAATGGTCAAGAAAGTTGGCTTCCCTGCTCCCCAACTCAACGGATGAATGGATTCTCAGCTCTTAAAGCAGTGATAGCGAGTAGCTATGAGCTCGTCCCTTGGTCCTCTTTTGACGAAAGTATTCATGGGCAAGCTAGAAGCTTTCGAGCTTAGTTGCTAGATCAATGGTCTGAGATAATATGGACGCTATGTGGATGATATATTCGCGTCCCATTTCAAGGGGACGCGCCAAACGAACTTCTACTAAGGCGCCTAACTCAAGCTGTATCACGCACCTTTCCAGCAACTGACGCCCGTGCACTCTTTTCCATTAGTCACATCCTACACGGAGAGGGGAAGGAAAAAATGCCAGCCCACACCACTTCTATGTGTATTTACTCCTTCGCCTGCTCCTGTGGGGCAGAATATATTGGTCGCACGAGCCGGCGTTTGTCCAAAAGGATAAGAGAACACCTTGCAGCGTGGTTCGGAAAGGACCAAATACAGCACGTTAACAGCTCTATCCTCGCTAACATGGTTGACACAGATCACTGCGTAGATGCCGGACAGGCATTCCAAGTGATTTGCGTGGTCCCGTCAAGCTATCCAAAACAACTTGGACAGCGTCTGTTGACAACAGCAGAGGCGGCCGCAACCAGGCTATACAAACCAGTTCTATGCGCACAGCAGAACTTCGTTCAGGCCCGACAGTTACCATGGTCCAAGGCACCATGCCAGCCACCTGCGTATAATTACCCGTCCCAATACTCGCCATCCCCTTCTCCCCCCTGGCACTGATGGTAATTTTGTTTTTCACCTCACCCACCCAGACCCTTCCCCCCCAAACCCCAGCTACAGAAAAACTTCTGTTTGCCCATTCTTTATAATCACGCCGATAGCAACCGATAGGCCCGACGAGAATTTGTCAAAGGCTTACGCATGCTCGCCAAATTGTCTTTTGAATTAGCGAGAATAGATTATTTAATCAGTTACAAATTGTGTGCACAGAGTTATTTTGCTTTTAGAACGCAAATGAGTATTTCAACCTCAATCGAGCTGACAGCACGCGACTCCGTTAGTGCAGTGGTGTGAGAACGTCGCTCAATGATCAACAGACTCAGAGTTCGGACCTCGGATGTGCAGACCCGATTTGAGTGACTGTCATTCCAGGGATTCTGTTATTGTCATTAAAACTTCTCAAATTTCTTACAGGTTGTTCACTGTTCCCATGCCACAACGGTGCCATCGCAAGTTATAATGGCAGAACTATATACACCTGCGTCTTGGGCCCACTGCCTCTGATACCCCCCACCCACCAGCTTCTGATTGCCTCAGTAGATAAGTTTGCTTATCCCACCGTCACAGTTCGCATAAGATCGTCCCACCGTCTGTCACTATCTCACAGTAACATCAACATGGAAACGTCCTCCCATCGGCTGCAAACATTCATGATCGAGCATATAAGGCTAGCGGAGAACGATACCCAAACCCCCCTTACGAATTCTCCTTCGACGCCACGGAAGGCCCCCTACGAGTGATTCGAACTACCGTTAAATCAATGAGAATGTCACTAACGAAAGAGACAAAGCGAAGAGGGACGTTGGGGAAACGATGTTTGCATTTCCAAACAAAACTGATGATTCCACGGAAGGTCTGACAGCTTTGCAACCGGTCCCTCATAGGACGTCCAGATGTGATGACCCCCCCCCCGTAAGAGCTCTACGGAGATCCGGGGCGTCGGCATATCCGTCCTACGATTATAGTCGTTTATTTACCTTTGGCTCCAAAGAGCGACCCCTCCCCCGTTTGTCCCGGACTGCACATCGCCACGGTAAAAACAACGAGAGCCACGACCGTCCATCCGGATTGCCAGAGCTAACATTCTCCGGCATCTACTACCGGGGATCACAAACGGGGGTCCGCTTTCAGGGTCGCAGATCAACCGAGCAAACAGTACTAGGCAGTGAAGGGCCGGGGAGGCACCTGGAACGGGCGAGAGAACAGTCACGTTTTCATCCACATGGTATGCTAAAAC